CAAATAGCTGAAGACTCTAACATGATTAAAACATGTTTTATATGTGAAAATATTCCACTTTTCATGAATTATTGTGTCTTTTCAGATAACTGAATGACAGGTCAAGTAAGCCAACAGTGTGATGGGGACGCTACACTGATGAACTGATATTTGACAAACAACATGTGAGTCCAAAATACACATGCTTTGAGGTTCAGTGTTGTGTTTTTTACATTAGAAAAATAGTTTGGCCAGTTGGGAAACAGTCTTACTTACTTTTTTGTGAGAATTAGATGGGATGATTGATTGAAAGTGAATAAACATATTTCCCAAAATGTCTACCTATTCCTTTAAGCAATAAAAGTGTATTTTTTTCTAAGAACAAGGAAGAGGGGGGGTGTGTATACTTTGATCAGTGGGTAAGCTGTCTAAGCAGTCTGATCTCTCCCTTTTGAAAGAATTCCAAATCATTTTTATTTTCAGAAATACATGCTTTTTTCTGTGACAACGTGGTCGTACAGAGTGCTGAAGACCACACGACTGACAAAGAGATGCTGAGTTTCATGCCATTCCCATGACTGACTAGACACATAAACACTAATTACACTGACAGATTGTCCTTTGCGAAAACCCCCTGGCAGCAAACTCCAGCTATCTCTGACAGAGCAGAGAGGAGTGCTGGGTGTAGAGGTTTGCGTTTAGGTTAGTGTGTGGTCATACACTTGTGGTATGCATACATGTCAAAATCTTCAGTTAATAAATGTGTGTTCTGTAAATCCCAATGGAAAAAAGGGCATTTTAACATATTAAACACATTGTGAAGCAGTAACACTGTTTAGCTTCATGTATTCTCTCTCTCCCTCCATCCTTGAGTCATAAGATATACAACACCAAGGGGATCTAGGGTCCCATTGTTACAGAGTACAACAATTGTACAGCAAAAGATGTTTTGGCCAGAGTGCTGGAAAATCTTGATGTTTGTTTGGAAGTGTAACACGCAACCTAATTATTTCCGTGCCTCCAGTTTGTTGGGTTTTCTCTAACACAATGCTACATAACTCTTAACATATAAGCTGCCGTTGTTGCACTACCTGTGATCAAAGCCTGAGTATGTGACACTAATTGAGTTCTACTGCTCTTATAATGTTCTCTCCACTAATATTAAAATTCTTGAAGAGTGAGACAGCTTAAGCTGCTTTTCGATGTCTTGACAACCGTATCTGACAGGGCCATCAAGATGATTGCATGACTGGACGTCGTCTTCAGATTGTGTCTGCATTACATTCTGGCAAATCGAACTCTGCATAGGTGTGTTTCTTATCAGGGTTTTGGATGCCTCTCTGACTCCAGTAAGCTCATCAATTTTAAATCAACACTCGTCTACTGTGCTGTAACTTATCAGCAACCCACAATGATGAGCAGACATTGCATGAAATAGTATAATTCATGTCAGAGCTTGCTCTAATTAACAATAACCATGATTTAAAGAGCATGACGCATGAGATACTCTCCTGTTTTCTTGCTTACTGCTGATGGAAACACATGCCTCTTTCATGAGCTCACTCCACAGAGGTCATATCATGTAATATCGCGCTGCATCTCTACTGTACAGTGCATTACTGTACAGCAAATCACTTCTGTGGTTGTGGTCTCTCCTGGCACTCCTCCTTGCTGTTTACCCAGGTCTGAATCTAAACTCTGTTCAAGCGTGCTTATGATGGCAGGCAGACAGAGAGAGGTGTTCACAGTAGCCCGGCGCCAGCCGTTAGTGTAGGCAGTGGTGAAGTAGGGGCGAGTGTTCTCCATTTTGTCACTGATCAAAGATTGAGGATTGAGGGCAAAGATGGCTTCTGTGTGTGGGTATATAACAGAGTGTGTGAGGTGTTTGAGAGTGTGCGCGGGTGGGCAGTGACAGAAGAGTTTGTAGTAACTTACCTTCCCCAGCTTTAGAGGCGCCTAGCTCCAAGTCATCTCGTGTGCCACTGTGAGAATTGAGATAGGTAGCAGGGACCCAACCCTGCTCCTCTGCAGTGCTGACAAACCACCAACCTGTGGAAACATACAGAGGCTGAAAATCCCCAGGATTATGTAGGATGTTTAACAAACATGTCATACAATGCATTTCATAGCAAGATAAAGTATGTATAGCCAAGACTTTGAGTGCAAGGAAATACAGGAAAATGTCTTTGGAGGTCTGGAAGATTTGTTGAAATTTTGCAGATGAATTGGTGCTGTGATAAGATTCCCGCCCCAAAAAGTACACATCATAAATCTCTACAAAAAAAATCAACACAGATGATGAATCACAGGGATGAGCTACAAATGAAAATGGACATGAGGAACTTAATTGTGCTGCCAAAAGAATCTATAACTACATTCAGGGCCAAGAACATCAGAGGGAACACCGCCTGGCTGTAGCTCGACTCGTGACGAAATCTTGTTTAACCTGTGTTTCATCAGGATCAATTATGATTTCAGTGGGCAGGACATTGCTGAAATGGTGTTACAAGCCAAAATATCCATTTGCAATGTTGTAGCTGATTAGACTCACTCCTCTGGGTTCCTCAGACAACTGCTTTATGACAAATGCCTCAGCTTTAAAGGTGCATATACAAAATAATGTTTCACTTTAAACAAATCTGATCCCAATAAAGCCAGTGGAGTACAGGGATCCATTGTGTTAGATAAGGTGTAATGATGCAGTACATATGTACACTAATCATAACATTTGAACTTGTGCTAAATCACTTCCACACAAAATTCCCCGCACATTTGTTATACAGTGTCAGCTCTCAACGGTAGACCAAAGTGACGAAGCTGGCACAAAAACTGACCTATGGTATGCCACACATACGCTATTTGTTGTGGTAACGGAAATACAATATGGCTGACAGCTGTCTGGACAACCTATAAAGAGGATAGGAGTGTTCCATCATACTTTCACAGCTGGTCCAAACATCCAGTTTTTCCTACAGAAATGGTGTGTTATGACGTAGTTTTCATCAGTTAATAAAAAGAAGAATGTAGTATGACAGACAGGAACACAAAGAGGATGTATTGTATTAATTATTTGGTAAAGGTTGAGGCATAATCATAGGACGCTAATATAGAAATAACAGCAAAAATTGTAGACCCCTGAATTAAAGCAATCACTTAACCTGCAAGTAGTGAAGTATGAAATATGTAAATATGTCCTTCTGTAGTCATGCATCACGAGTAGACAGGCAACAATTTAAAGGTCGCTATAGATTAGAAGAGGTCATTACTGGTGTTTGAGGTAGACAGTGCTTCTCACTGTCTTGGCTAAGAATTTTAAATTTTTAATCTACGTTTCCTGGTTAAATAAAGTGTGAAGAGTGTTGAAGAGTCCATTATGTTGGATCTGCTATATGTGGAGACATTTTTTTTAAGGTCGGAGAGAAAAACACACAATTTCCCACCTGCTGGATGATTACATCTTACAGTATCTCTCAGAGTGGATATACAAACCTCATACAATATATATATATATATATATACAAAAGCATGTTGAAGAGTTGTTTTGGCAAAGACATCATGGCTTTCACTGCAATTTATTTCTGCCAGGATGCCCGTAGGATTTGGTATCAGGTCCCTTTCTCAGGCAGTTCCATACGACAAATATGGTTATAAAAAACAAATCATTTTAATTTATATTATATAATCCCGAATTCTGATGACTAACATTGTTCCTTAGCCATACGCCTATCTGTCCACCAAATGTAACTGGAGCACTAAAAGATACCCTGATGACAGACTAAATGCATGACTTTCTCAGAACAGGAAATAACACAGAAAATCTTTCCAGGCCTTTTTTATATTACACATGCAATCTCTGTGATTCATGTGAAGGATGATTTATGTATCTGATGAACCTGCTAAGCTACAGAAGAAGAAAATGCCATCAGCCGTACAGTTATGTTATTTTGCATAGAGTTAGGGTGGATGCAGATAGGAGGATACTGTTAGTGTCTGGCTCTGAGCAACATGCTGGCTAGGGCTCAGGTACGTAACAAGCCGTGTAATGCGCTCAGTCTTTGCACCAAAGCTGTGGCTTGAACAAAACCTCATGCCAATAAATCACACAGAGCAGCAAGTTACAACAAAACAAAATGGTGTCTACAACATTCAGAACCAAAGGACTCAAAATCCAGACTTCTTCTCTCCACAGTGGAGTTGAAAGCAGAAGATGCGAGGATTGTCAAACATTAATTACACTGACATCTTAATTTTAAAGTTCATTAAACAAACATTTTGCAATACTTCATTAAGTCACTGACAACATTTAAATATATCCTATGTGTCGTGTTTAATGACCAGCAAAGGGCAACATCAACTACATTACTGGTACATTAAATTAAATTGACCATTATAAAGAAAGGTCAGCTTGGCAGGAGTAAAAAGACCTGCGTCAACTCAATAAAGAAAAAAATCCTTACATTTGCAAATTTGCCATTTTCACACTGACATGCAAGCTTACGGAAATGTCATTTTCCCTTAAGCAAACTGACACTCATAAGCAAATATAAGAATAAGGTGTGGCAATGTACTTTAATTGAGAGCACTAGGCTATAAGACACAGCCACTTTAAACGGTCTGAGTAAATATACACTGTTATTGATGGCTTGGGCTGCCTTGCCTGTATCTTTCACCCATCCTCCCATATGACAGGTGCTTAGGCTGAGTTCACTGAACCTCAAAAGAAGTAATAAAAGTACTTTTAAAAATGCACACATTACACAAGTGCTGATTTCCTGGCCATTGCAGGTTTATATCAGACAGGCTGCAAATTAGGTGGAATGTAGAGAAAAAACAGCTTCTACACGAGAAACCTGTTTCACGTCTTTTATAACGAGTGACTGCAATTCAACCTGGCAAAAAACAGCTCCATACTTTATGTATAAGCAAGACAAAATGACAAAAATCCAACTTTTAATGGACATGAGATTATTATTATCTATAGGTTATGTTTAGGGCTTCAGATTTCAAATCAAACCTGCCTATTATTGTTGCACAATTAATCGAAATATTATCGAAATCGCAATATGGCAAGAAGCAGTGAGGTAAAATGTGGGAAAAACAGCATTATCATGAAGTACTGTAGTGCTGCACAGACGCCCCGGCCAACAAACCTTCTTCTCCCGATGTAAGATGTTGATTTTAACCGTTTTTTTGCGATGCAAAAATGATCATTCCCACACTTATAGTTCATCATATTGCAATCGCAATAGCTGTCAAAATAATCGCAATAGGAATTTTTAACCACATCCAGCCCTAACTGTTACATATTGTATCTTCTGTTGTGTTAATTCTTCTGGAATATTTATCCAGGAGGGCCGGGAGGGGGATGTGATTCTTAACTTTTGGATAATGTCCACTTCATATTTGACAGGTTTATCATCTGTACATTCTTCATAGACCTTAAACTGAGGTCATTACATAAGAAGCTGTTTTGTGGGCCTCCTGCTGCCAAGATTTAAAAAAAAAAACGTTAAAAGTAAAGCTAAGAGAATAGTGAAGAGTGAATGAAATGGCAGATAACTGAAACAAGATCAGAAAAAGAAAGTATTCTCTCTTCCTCGTTTCCGGATGGCAGGGATTATCTGTACAGATGTGGGAGGAACAAAGGTGAAGGTAGCATACCTTACCTCTGGAATTATGTGTGGGGGTGTGTGTTTGAACGAGTACACATGTATCTGTGCATTTGTCTGATTTTTGATCCACCAACCGCCTTGAACCCCACAGCAGAGTGCGCGGACATAAAGCTACACCTGCTTCTTTATCTGTGCTTTTTTATGATGTGTCATTTTTTGATCATTCAATATCACAACCTGCTTTTCTCCATGTCTCCCTGTCTCCCTATCCACGTAAGGAAAAATTAAAAACCTTGGAAAGCTGCTGCAGAGTTTCAACCACAAAGGGAAAAAAAGAACACAGCCAATTGCTGACTGGCTATACACTTTGCTTAACATTATTCAATATTACGATTATAGCTACTTAGTCAACATCCTGAGTAAATCAAAAACCTTTTAAAACATTTGAGCAGAGTTTAGTTTTGTAACCCCCACTGCCTTGGGGTCAGTGGTTGCATAAGACAATAGCTAAACCCACAACCCTCTGGTGGAGATCTCATATAACACCATCACACCATAGGATCATGACCACAGACATCAACCTCAAATGTCACAGTCTCGGAAAGGAAGAAACCAAATGGTTTGTCTTGACAACACTGTTGTATTGCACCACATGGACATCGTGGATGTTTTAAGCAGAGCTGAGGGCAAGTTGTAACTAAGTTAATACCTCAGTATCCTGCTGTGAGGGGCAAAACTCTGGTCGTATCAAGTTAAATGCCTGCTTGATTCCATTTATTTCTGTAATAAAAATAAAGAAAATGATGATGTCAGCCTAATTTAGACAGCATGAAACATATAGATCCAGATTGGACATTTTGGAAAAAACATGTAGACTTTTTCTGGTGGAAAGTACGATGATATATAATTCTTCTATTTGTCCGATGATATATAATAAAAAAGCAAATTTCCAAAAAGGTGTCAAAATATTCTTTTAACTAACTATAAGCAAAGCATTTCAAAAACCAATTGATTGTATAATGTAGAAAAATCAGTACTGGTTATGTAAGTTAAAAGTTTGCAGCAATTTGACAAAACCAGATGGAAAAATGCTTCCTAGTTTTATGCTGTCCTCATAGTCTCACTTAACCTGTATTCTACCCCTGTGAGTGCAGATACAGTGGACAGACATATAGCGAGAAAGAGCAACATTTCTTAGCTGCATTTGTCTTCATACAGTATCTGCCATCTGGAAACTCTATCAGCTTTAAGACCCATGCTTCATTTTTACTGTAATCAACAACAGACTCTCAGCTGCAACAAGAAACTCGATTTATGCCATTTGGGGTTTTTCCTGAGGTGACTGGATGACTTATAAAACAAAACCGCAATCTACATATACAATCAATCAAGGGTGATACCTAAGCAATGGCATACATAATGTAGTGTGACATTGCA